CTCGCCTACATCGTCCATATAGGACGACTCGGGAACTCAACTCCTACCCCGGGCAGCTCACCGATCCCCTTATGCCCAGGGGAAAGGTATCAAGCCGTTTGACAGCAGATGCTGGCTGTCAAACCGGCTTTTACGCAAAACAGGCGGGAGGCAGCAAACAGCTGCGACCAGCGAAATCGCCTGCCACCGGAAGTCCCGTAGGGAGTGGGTTTTTTATACCCTCTGAAGCCTTTTGTTTTGAGTTGTTTCCTGTTCCCGTGGCATGAGGTTTGAACTGAGTCTGAGTGTGCTTTTCTGGCCCTTGGTATCTGTGGTTTAATCCTATTATGTTTCCCTGGGGCTGGACTAATGACTCTTAGAGTTTGGGTGAGGTATGCAGATTTTAGGTCTTTGTCTTCTTAAACTTCTAGCTTCAACTTTCCTGAATGGTTTGCATCTCCATTTCTATAGAGCTGGTTTCTGCTTGGGGGAGGCAGACTTGGGGCTATTAAGAAAACTGGACATGCTTTCCTGCTTCTTCAAGATCCTGACGAAATATATTTTTTCCTGCCCTTAATATTTCCTTCTCTGGGGGGGTGACTTCCCACATGGGCATTGCAACTCAATGGCCACAACCATCACAAATTGTGGTTAGATGACCACAGGACATTGCAACCAGCTGCTAAGTGCCCAAAATGTAGTCATATGACCATAGGAGAAACATTTGATGGTGGTCAGAAATGCTTTACAGACCATAAAGCACCCTTTCTGAGGTCATTGTAATTCTGAACTACTGTTAAACAACCATGTGAGAACTGCCATACTTCTTTGTGTAATCATATTTCAAGCAGCAAAAACTAACATCACCTATCTAAATCTATTCTAAACAGAAAGAGTTAATTCATCCTTACACTTTAACCTATAAAGACTAACTAAGCTACATTCTTCTGGAAAAAAACTAAATAAAAGGTCAGTCAACGGTTCTATCTAATGACTTGTTTGTGCACCCACCCTGCTATACAAAATAAGAATCAAGTTTAGAAAGTTTGTATTCATTGTGCTGTGATAGATGGTATTTTGCAGAATAACACCCAGATATCTCTGTTCTTTGTCAAACAACCCCAGAATCGAACCCAATACAAGAAAAATAACAGTGGCACTTGGAGCAAATCATGATGAGTTTAAAATAATGCATGCACAATGTCTTCATCAAATGAATGCCCCAACCACATATTTGTGTTATGATGCCCGATGCAAACATCTAGGTCACTTTATTTGTATGATTATCTCATAACAGGCATGTCCCCTTTTCTCTTTATTCCACAGAAGACAGCAATTGTCTGTAAGAAACAAGTTGTGAAATTTAAGCAGGAGCCATTCTAAACTACAATACACATGGAAGTAGAATATACATAAAACACCAGCAGGGCTAACATGGATCGTGCCAGGTGAGACACTCCCAGACCACAATGGAAAGCCTACTTAATAATTTTGAGCAAATGATTCAATTGCAAACTACACATTTTTCAGAAACTTAAAATCTCATCCCAGGGATAAAGTGCAGTGTGTAAATATGTGATGGTATCTCCAGATGTGATGGTGTCTGATTCAGAGGCAGAACACCCGTTCAGAACAATTATATGTAAGTCAGTTCAGGAATTCAAAGTTCCCACTGAGATAAAAGCAGCAAATTGTTTAGGATTGAGAACATATTATATATACTCTTTGGGATTTAATCTGAAGTGAGTAACATTATTAGTCATAAAAGTACCAGAAAATATTTTGTGGTACTATACTTCTCTGTTATTTCTGGCCTTACATTGCATCATTCCATCCACTAATCTTATTGTTGACCAAGATAGTATTTAGTTGAGAACAAAGTATGCATTTGTTATTTCAACTGCTTAGAAAATGTCCTTGTGATTAGGCTAAAAGAACCATTCAATGTGTCCATATTTCAGGTATTTGCCCTCTGGGTGGATCATCATTGGGTTGCATATATTGATATTTACTTATCAAACTTGTATGCTGCCCATCTCGCCAAAGGTGATTCTGGGTAGCTTACAGACATTAAATAAAATGAACTATAAAACATTAAAACAATAAATAAGGAATTTAAATTTAAAATTCAATTAAAATAAAATGAAGGATGGAGAGGGAGGGAGGGAGCAAAGATGACACAGAAAGAAGGTGAGGTGTTATCTACTCCCTTAGCTACCTCCAAGAGCCAAACCCAGATTGAGACTGCAGGCTAGTTGACACAGTCATGTCTTCAAGGCTTTTTGGTAGACAAAAAGGATGGGAGTGGATCTGACTGTGGGGGAGGGGACATTTCAGAGGGTAGAAGCCACAGCAAAAAAAGCTATTCCCTCCAGCCAAATTTCTTTAGCCGATGGAGTGTGCAACAGCATGCCTCTTCTGCTGGTGTGCATGGTGTAAACTAATCCCATCAGGTTGAGCCAGTTTCTCAGATAGGCTGAACCTACGCCACAGAAGGCTTTAAAGGAGATAACCAACACACTGAATTGGACCCAGAAGCAAATTGGTAGCCAGTGCAGCTCACGGAACAGTGATGTAACATGAGCCAGGAGCCCCAAGAACTGCACCAGTTGAAGCTTTTAGATATTCTTCAAAGGTAGCCATACATAGAATGCATTGCAGTAGTCCAAATGTGAGATAACCAGGGCTTGAGTGACTGGGCCCAGCGACTCTAAATCCAAAAAAGGGAACTGGCATACAACATGAAGTTGAGCAAAGGCCCACCTAGCCACAACTGCCACTTGCCCATAAGCAAGAGTCATACGTCCAAGAGAACTCCCAGATAACACATCAGGGCTATCTGGGGTAGTGCAATTCCATCTAGATCTAAAGATGATAATCCCAGAATCAGAAGACACCCAAAGACAGGGTTAGTAGGGTTCAGCCAAAGTCTGTTGTCCCTCACCCAGACCCTCACAGCCTCCAAATGCTGCAAGGGGGCAAACGACAGCAACTCTTGGATCACCCGAGATAGAGATGTAAACTTGAGTATCATCAGCATATAGATGCATCCCATGGTAGCAAATGAACTCACCCAGCAGTTTCATGTAAACGTTAAGGAATAGAGAAAGTACTAAGCTCTGTAGCACACCACAAAGGGGGCTATGAACTGGACCTTTGCCTTGCTATCAACACCAATTGGGACCAGGCTTAAAGGAAGGAGCCAGCCAGCACAAGACTGTGCCACCCAGCCTCAAACTTTGTAGCCCAAAAAGATACCAGTCAATGGTATCAAAAGCCATTGGGAGAGGTCAAAGAGAGCAAGGATGGATGCTCTATCCCTACCCCATTCTTGTGTCAGAAACTATCCAAGTGCCACTGATACTGTTCCTGTTCAGGATTCTCTGAAGCTGACAATATTACAAGTGCAATCAATATAATACACCAAAGTTAAAGGCTACACTGAAATCTTCCATAAATAACCAAAAGGGGCTATTTAAACTATTCTCCAATTTTCTCCGCAAGAGGCACCACAGGAAAATTTTAATATATTTTGAAAATACAGTTCAATTATAACAATTCAAGAGATAATTTACTGCTATATTCATTGAAAGGCTGAGAACTGTTACTACAATTTCCACTTCTGGGTTTCAAAGCAGACTTGACTCAAACACTACAATACATTGTTGGTTGAACAAAATGGATTTTACTTCATACTAGATTTTGTTCAAGTATTTCCCCCCAAAATGGACAAGAACTTTTGTATCTGTGTGCATACTAAATACATGTTCTTTGATAAATTATTACGTATTTAACTTTGGGGAGGATGTCAAGATCCCACTACTTTTCATTTTAAAAATAAAACACTGTTAATGTAATTAATCCGTATCGAAAACACCCAGGAAGGGCGGCATTAAATCTACCTAATGCGCATGCCCCGATTATTCGTTTTCCTTTGTGGAAGCGTTTGAACTGCCCCTCCCGTCTCTTGAAAATGGTGCAGACTCCCCGCGTCCGCTGCAACGTACACGGCCGTTTCCCCTCCCTCCGCGCTTTTCAGCCAATCCCCTCCAACATCCGTGGCGTCACAAGGAAAGCCAGTTATGTCCAGTTTGCGCTCGCCTGCATCATAAAATGCGGAAGCCGGAGAAGGGAGGAGCTGAGCTTGACGGATCTACGCCCACAACCCAACCTCTCCCATCCCCCCTCAATTTTTCCTTTTTCTAGCCAATCCTTGCGCCCGCCTCCCGATGCGCGTTGACGTCATAAACCCGTAACTGCTATATAACCCGTTGGACGTTTTAAACCCGCCCTTCCTGCTGCCTTTTCCTTTTTTAGGCGTTTCGGAGAGGCTAAGGAGTCGCCGTCGCTGTTGTTGTTACCGCGCCCCGCCTTTTGCTGTCGCCGCTGCTGTTGTTGCTTCCGACCCGGGGAAAAGGGAAGCGAAGCGCGTCGTATGTCCGCTATCCAGAACCTCCACTCCTTCGGTGAGGGGGCTCCGGGAGTGGCGGGAAGCGATCGGGGAGTAGCGGACTGCGGGGGAAAATGGACAGTGGGGGAAGGCCGCGTCAGGCGAGAGGTGGAATTTGCTTGGGCCCCGAGGGGGGGAAGGTCGTCGGAGAACTCCAAGGGGGGGGACAACTGACCTCAGAGCTGGGGGGGGGGGGGTCCGAAAGCGGAGAGCTGAGGCTGCGGCGGAGTTTGGACATGGGGGGTAGGAAGGGAAAGACCTGCCAGGAGGAATCATTCCGGCGGCGGGGGGAGGAAAGAGTTCGGCGGGGGGGAGCGATTTCATTGGTCGAACCCAAGATAGGAAGGAAGCCAGCTATTCCAAGTTTGGCCCCGGGAGGGGGGAAACAGGCGCCTCTGGCCTAGCTTGGCCTAAAATGCGCCTCCTAGAAGGGATAGGAAACGAGGACAGGCGCCCGAAAGATGGATACTGATCACTATCGGGATGAATGTCGGAAGACGGCATTGTTAAGAGGATCCGCCATCTTGTTGCTCCTTCTCTAACCCCCCTCTTGTTGACGCACTTGCGAATTCCTGACGGTTGCGTCACCCTGCAAGTGGGAGGGCTCACTCGAATCACGTGGTAACATGAATGTCTCCGTTTGGGTATCTGATGTGGAAGCAGCCTTGCTTCAACATCTGTGCACCCTGTTTTAATAAGGGTGAGAACAAAGACTTTACAAGGTGTAACTGATTAAAAAATGGATGCCAGGGACCTTCAGGCAACCTGCGAACAGCCTTTCTTTCAAGCTCCAGAGTGATTGAACTTGAAATAGGTAGATGAAGATGCCCATTTTCATACCTTAACATTTCTCAATCACTCTACCTGTCTTTAAGGGCTTGCTCAATTTAGGAGGGTGATTTGTGTTCACAAGATTGATAATTCCTTAAACTGACAGAAATTGTACCTTTCTCACGTTAATACATATAACATTTCAACTTTTTTCAGATCCCTTTGCTGATGCAAGTAAGGGTGATGACTTACTTCCTGCTGGGACTGAGGACTACATCCATATAAGGATCCAGCAGAGGAACGGCAGAAAAACCCTCACCACAGTCCAAGGCATTGCCGATGATTATGATAAAAAGAAACTGGTGAAGGCCTTCAAGAAGGTATTTGTGAAATTCTTAATCCCCAGTAATTGCTTTACTCTTGGTAAGTGCTTAGAAGTAAATAGTTAATATCTGCTTTTTTGTTTCTGTAGAAATTTGCCTGCAATGGTACTGTGATTGAGCATCCAGAGTATGGAGAAGTGATTCAGCTTCAAGGGGACCAACGGAAGAATATATGCCAATTCCTCATTGAGGTGAACAACGATTTAAAATTTATGGGTTCCATTGCTCAGTATTGTTGAACGTGCACACAATATTTTATATATTTGATTTCTGCTACTAAATTAAAACCAAAAGATTTTATTAGAAGTAGCTGGTTTTATCTTGCTGTCAGGGTAAAATAATGCAACTGTTAATTTTACTGGTATAGGTCAATTTTTAAATACTTTAAGTCATATATTTCTCCTTTTTTTTCAGATTGGACTGGCTAAAGACGACCAGCTGAAAGTCCATGGGTTTTAAATTTTGTGGGTCACCAAAGTTTCAAGGGCGATGACTTCCCTGCGATGAAAGATTCTTTGTGTCCTGCCTCATTAGTTTTAACCAAGCCAGCTTGCATAATGTAATCACATCAGGTTCCCTTTAGTCTGGACTAGTGTAACTTGGCAATGTAATAAACTGACAAGATCTGTGTCGTGTTGTGTTGCTGTCCCTCATTTAAACCAGGTCCGGTAGTGTTGGTGTCATGCCAGAAGTTTACTTTATAGACATTGCTGATTTTAGAATTTAAATATTCTGGCTGTTTTAGGGACATCTAATATTTTAAGCCACCTTTGTCACAGAAATTGAGGCTAAATAATTACAAACTGTGAAAGATTAAGTCTCACCTACCTTTGTGTATCTGAAGGCATCTTTGTGCAAAGGTATTGGGGCTATATAAATCAAAGTCTTCAAAATTGACACTAAGGTGACTGAATTCAGGCAAGGTGGTGTTAGCTTAGTCTCACACTTTAAAGGTGCAGTTTTTAAAGAATGACTTTGCAAAGTGCTGCTTTAGCAACTAACAGCTGTGTGAAGCAACAGATATCTCAGTTGGAATCCTGATGTTCTGTGTAATGTATTTAAACTTTTATTTAAATAAAAATGATTTTCAGAAATATTTGCCTTGTATTTTAATGAACTGTTAAAAGTACTAGAGTGGGGCGGGGTTCAGACAAAGTAAAAATGTCCTCTCTAAGCCAGACTCAAGAAAATGGAAAGTGCTTCTAAAAAACAACAATTTGGTGGATAAGATCAGAAAGACATTTGCAGTTCAGCTAGTCTGAATGCTACAAAATAGTGCTCTACTTAGTATGATTTTTGTTAATCTTATAGCTCAGTAGTGGTGAACCTATGGCGCGCGTGCCAGAGGCAGCACTCAGAGCCCTCTCTGTGGGCATGTGTGCCATGCCCCGAAGATGGTGAGGGACTGGCCCTGCCCACCCAGTCTGCCATGACCACTGGCCATGTCCACCCGGCACCCATTGATAAATAAGTGGGTTTTGGGTTGCAGTTTGGGCACTGGGTCTCTAAAAGGTTTGCCATCACTGTTATAGCTGCATCATAGTACTGAAAATATCAAAAACCAACTATCATGTACCTTTGACTTCCAGCAATCACAGATTCTCCATGATCTATCCCCTGCTTGGTCTTTCTGGTTCTTCAATAATCTCAAAAAATTGTGCATCATTAACCCACTAGTCACATTGGTTACAATTTTATATAACAATTCCCAAATGTTAGGTATGTACATTAAAAATGGTAATATTAAGATATTCAATACATTTCAAGTTCGATGATTGAATATTACTTTGAAAATATAAATTTTGCTTAAGTTGAAAAATCTTTAATTCTATTAGAAATTTATTTTTCCCAATAAAGACAAAAGCACTTTACTCAAAAGTACAATGTAACCACCCCTCTCCAGTAAATCCAGCAAATTGCTTTTGAGCAATTCCATGCATTTTACATATATATATATATGAAAAGATTCTTATAGTGGGGTTAGAACAGTTGCTAAGTAAATATTTTTTTTAAAAAAAATGTATTGTTAAAAAATTCTGATCCTGCAACTTTTAACCATGAAACAGTTCATCATAGGGCAAAACCTTTGAACCAAGCTCCCTTATATATAGGCAAATTTACAGAATTCAGGGTTCTTAAACTCAAACTGAAATTTGGCAGATTTTGTAAAACATTTTGTGATATAAAGCGGGCTTTTCTCTAATGCAAAATGCAAAACATTTCCTGTGGTCAACTGACGTTTTCAGTGCTACACAATTCACCATAGACTACTTTCAAGGCAGATACATCTCGTGAGTATCTTCAAGTACATTAGAAGCTCTGCCATTGTTGAAGGCATTGGGGAAAAAATGACCCAAGGATTATAGGTTGCCTAGTTGGAATTATTAGATATTAATTTCTAAACAACACATATTCTAAGAAAACCTACATAATTTATGTTAAATTGCCCAAAGAGATACTATGACATTCACTTCTGATCATTTTTGTCCTGATCCTTGTTACAGAAAGGAAAAAATGTAAAAATGACAATATGACTGCCATGAAACTAGCAAAGCATTTGACAGCAGAAATTAAAAACATCTTTTCTTCATTTCTCATTAATAAAGATGGGCATAGACATAGCTGACAATATCAGTAATGAAACCAAGTGTTTTATTTCTTTAATGTGGAAGCCTAACCTAGAATTCTTTGGGCTAAGGGGATAAAATGGCCCTCCAAACAGCACAATTGCCACAGGCACCAATAAATTGTACTTTCTTATGTATATTTTCCAGGTTATTCTAATCAGGTATGCAATGCTTTTGCACATGACAAATTTTGGACAGAGGGAATGGTGAATGGAAGGAAATGTTTGACAGGATGTAATCTGGAAAGGTTGGTAATGCAGCTGTAAAAGGGCTGAAAATTGATTTGGCTGCCAAGTATCATATTTATTGCATCTACTTCTGGCTTTTCAACAGACTTTCAATAACTGATTGCTTGTTAATACTTTTCTAAAGAAGAAAAGCTTTTCTCATTAAGGCTTTTCTCATCTATTGGTGTTTGCATTGATGTCATTTTTTGTTTCTATTAGGAAACCAATGGGATTTTTATATCTTAGCAACCAACTATGCTTTCCATTATAAATCAACCTGTCTGTCTGATGGATGGATGGAGTTATTTTTATTCCAATATTATTAACTGTAATACTACAATTTTTCAACTCCAGACAACAATTGTGTGCCTTAATCACTGGGATGATGTAGCTGTGATGAGTTAGCAAGATTAAATATATGTTGCTAGAATGTTATGATTTGAGAGATAAGGATGATCCATACCAAGAAGGGAGACACTGCATGCAGAGGTAATTCTGTGTTTAGAATTTTTCTCTTTAAATTGTTAAAAGAAAAAAGAAACTTGACTTCACCTTTAAGCTATTTCTCAAACAGTTTCTACTACAGGTAGTCCTTGACGTACGATTACAACTGAGCACAAAAATTCTGTTGCTAAGTGATACATTTGTTAAGTGAGTTTTGCCCCATTTTATGACCTTAGTTGCCACTGTTGTTAAGTGAATCACTACAGTTGTTAAGTTAGTAACATGATGGTTAAATGAATCTGGCTTCCCCAATGACTTTCCTTGTCAGAAGGTCACAGAAGGTGATCACATGACCCCTGGACACGGGAACTATCATACATATGAATGGCCAAGCATCTGAATTTGGATCACATGACCATGGGGAGTGCAACAGTAGTGTGGAAAATGTCACTTATTCTAGTGCCATTGTAATATGTCACTTATTCTAGTGCCATTGTAACTTTGTATAGTCACTAAAACAACTGTTGTAAGTAGAGGACTACCTGTAATTCTGTATTGTTTCCAATTGCATATCATTCTCAACTGTTGTTCTGTAGGAAGACAGAACACACACACACACACACCGAGAAAGAAATATTTTGGGGAATATTAAAAAGGCAGAATATTATATTTCCCCAAAGGAATAATGGACAAAATCTTAGGCAGAACCCTCCCCCTCAAGTCTCTCTGCACCAAGCAGAAACTAGCTCTGTAGAAATGCAGATTTGATCATCCTTTCAGAAAGTCTGGGGCTAGGAAGCTTGGACTTGATGGGATTAGAAAGACAAAGACCCCTAAAACCAGCAACCCCTCACCCAAAAATCCAACACAGGACATAGCCATCAGCCACAGCCCCAGGGAAGCAGGACCTTTAGGGCATAATAGGATTAACCCACCACCATCAGAATACAAAAAGGGCACACTGAACCTCAGATCAAAGTTCATGCCACAGGAACAGCTCCAAACACAAAAGCCCAAGAAGGTATAAAAACCCACCACTCCCAGATCCATGTGGTCAGCTACCCCAGAGCCACATACTGTTGTGATTCTGCTCTTCAATAAACAAGAATCTTCTTTCAAAAGCAGCCTCCATTTTATTTTTTCCCAGCTTGGACTGGACCTGATGATGATTTTTGTTTCAACACTACAAAACAATATTCCTGCAAGAGTGAAAGATCCCTGAAAGCAGGGTAGTTTTTCCAGGCACCAACTACAAAATTAATGCTGCTTCCTTCCATCCTTCCATTATGGTCTTACATTCAGGGAAATTCCCTGCATTCAGAACCTAGGTCAGAGGCACATATGACTGTTTCACAAAGCGAAAATAAAAATTCATAGAGTTTAAACATTTAGGCCGTGTTCTGTACTCCAAAAAGTGTCATGTTAAAATATCATTTTATTTATTTATTATTTACAGAAACAGCATAATGTTTTCCAATTTATGGGTGGTGTACATTAAAATAATTTAAAATCTGGCTGTCACCGCTCCATCCTCAAATGTTAAACTTAAAAGGATTGTATATTTTAGGACTAATATTGCCATTTCTACTACCTCCCCTGCTCTTAGGTGTTAAGGGATGTAACATCACATCTCTCATTTGCCCAGGGATGCCGTTGATCCTGAATAATTAAAACATTATTTAACAGGATCAGTACAGCCACAGCATAGGAGCAGCATAGATTTAGCAAGCAAAAAATAGTTTGGGGTACCTATCCCAACTAATTAATTTTATTTAAAAGCTTTCATGGGCTTCGACTCATTTTGTTTTTAAAGTGCATTGAAGCACCTACAACACAGTATGTAGTGCAGATGACATCACTGCAATGCCATTGTTTGAACACAAGAGGGTGCCTAGTGCTCTGGGCTTGTCTTTCTTTTCACCTTTCTGAATACTGTAGGAAATCTGGGACACTTGCAGCAATGTCTATGGAGATTCTCAATCATCCAGGTCCTTGTTGTCCCAAAGGTGCTTTTCTAAAAAGCAACTGGATTTCCTTGTTTTTTTCCCCTTGAAAATGTTTCACTTCTTATCTAAGAAGCTTCTTCAATTCATTGGATGAGAAGTGAAATCTTTTCAAAAAAAAAAAACAAGAAAGTCCAGCTGCCTTTTGAAAAGCATCATTTGGACACTTTATAGCAGGGGTGTCAAACTGCTGGCCCACGGGCTGGTTTCATCATACCAAAGCCGTGCCCACCCCATTGCCAGCAATGTAAAAAGAGTCGCGATACATCGCGACACATCACGTGATGTGGCAAGTTTGACACCCATGCTTTATAGCAATGTTTCTTAAAC